GTGGTGGTGATGGTGGAGGGGTATGTGCGTGTGCGTGTGTGTTTGTGTATGTGTGTGTTTAGACATATGGGCTGATGCAAGGGAGAGGAGGCAAGTACTCAGACTTCCTCTTGATGTGACCAAATTCTAATTCTCACCTGAGAATAAAGAAAAAATGGCTTCTTTAATACTGCCTAAACCAAATATGACCAGTGTTCTTTATGGGTTTTTCATTTTCATTTCTTCTTAATCCTCTTAATTTTATTTCACTGGCTTTCTTGCTGCCTTTTTTGTTCCTGAACTGAGTGCCCACATAAGCGTTTTACTTATAAAACATGAGAGCATACTCTAGCTAGGGAATTATGATGAGGGTATAGACTGTCCTTATTGTCTTCTAGCTTTCTCTTTTTGCTTCACAAGTATCTATGCATAAAAGGGTTATTTTTTCTTTAAAAAACTTACATGAGCATTTTTGTAGTCAAGTTTCTGAGAATCACATCTGTACAGTTTGATGGCCTTTTTTCTGAGAAGTATTCTCTTTGTGTAGACATAATAGCTGATAGGGCATGCAAAAGTATTGGATTGTTAATGAGTATTTAACTTTGACCTTGTGTGGGGAAAAGGTTGGGGAAGTATATTGCTTGAATTGTGGTTTGTGTTTTAGATGTGGTTGTATAAACACAAGCTGCCAGTTGTCTATCACACATACAGTGATATAAATATATCAATATATTATTCAGCATGCACGTCAAAAAAACGGAATTGTAACTTAATACACCTGCAGTTGTTCCCACCCACCCCCTATTTTAATTAACTGTTTTTAATGAATTATACCATTATTTTTATGCTTTTATTATTGCTTTATTTATTTATTTATTTTCAAAGTGGTTTAACTGTATCTTGATTTTAATGGTAAACTGGTTTAGGACAAAGTAAGTTTTAATGGAAAGTAGAAACTTGTTACTTGTTATCTCCTCCATAATTACTTCATTCCCACTTACATGAATTTTGAAATGTAATTTTGTTACACACTTGTAAGAGAGCAAAAAGGTAATTCATTGCAGATACTGTAACTGTGTTACGTGTGATTTACTGTACTACTTTCAAGCTTTGGCAAGGTGTTCTTTGATGGACTGTAGTATTCCTTAGTGCTTGAAAACATTAGAGAGAGAGAGAGAGAGAGAGAACCTTCCCAACTTCTGATACTTTTACTAGCAGAGGGAGGTGGATTTTGCTGCCATTTGAATTTCCCCGTCAGCTCAAAAGAACGCTGCTGCAGATTAATCTGAGCCATGTTGTATTGCTCAAGCCAGTGATGGAGGGGGGAAGAGAACAGTTTGGGGCCACATTACTTGTTGAAGCATCTTTTTCCAAGGTCATCCTCCTGTGTCTGATCCTCTCAGGGTGGCTACTCCAAAGGAGGCCAGGAAATCTTCAAGGAGAAATCAGGCCTTCTCGGCAGTGGCACCAACTCTGAAGAATCAGTTCAAGGGTGCACTTTACCTGGCCTCCTCCCTCCTGCCACCATTTTTAAGAGGCTCCTGAAAGCACTGCTTTTCTTGGAGAGCTTTGAATGCAGCCTTGTCTGATTTATTTTTTGGGGGGGGGCAGGGCTCTTGCCCTGTTGCCTTATTTGAAACTGCTGCACTGTCATGCCTTAATGTTGATTTATTTGCTTATTCTTTGTTTTATAATAGTATCTTCTTACTCTTACTTGGTTCATTATGCCTTGTTATTTTACATTGTTAACCACCTAGAATAGTGCTGTGGCACTACTGGGGTGATATATAAAGGGAATGAACAAACAAACAAACTGGGGGATTGCAACAGTTTCCCAAGGAAGAGATTGCTGCCTCTGCTTAAGAGTTAACATTTGATGCAGGATTCGTAGTATCCCCGAAACAGAATGGACCAGAGGAGAGGAAGAAATGTGTCAAGAAAAAGGAAGAAGCACAGAGAAGTGTGTGAGCTTCTCCCCTTTAATCTTCTGGTTGTGCTTTTGCAGGCATCTAGTATCACATCTGTATCAGTCCCTGCTTTCTAGCTTTAAGGCTGAAAAACAAGGAGAGGTATTGAAGAATAGATGCTTCTCTTTCCCTCGTCATTGGTTTTCTGGGAGAACTTGAAACTGTTCAAATAAGTTGCATCTGACTGGTATAATAGTCAGTTCAGTGCTATTGAAAATGCCCTAGATGTATATCAGTAAGGAACACAAAACAAAATGAAACAAAAGCAAAATAATAAAGAAGACAAAGAGATTGTGGCACCTTAAAGACTAATTGCTATATTTTAATGTGAGCTTTCATAGAAAATCAGACATGAGAAAGAATACAAAGACTATATGCATACAAGGCTCTAAGATAAAGGGATGCGGTAGTTGGTAGTTTCAAGGTGCATTTCACACCTAGAAATCCACTGGTGATGTTTAGAGAATAAAGCTTCATAAGAAAAGAAAAAAAAACATTGAAAACCCAAAGGTAAAGGTAAAGGTTCCCCTTGACAATTTTTGTTCAGTTGTGTTCGACTCTAGGGGGCGGTGCTCATCCCGGTTTCCAAGCCATAGAGCCAGTGTTTTGTCCGAAGACAATCTTCTGGCCAATGCAACTTAGACACGGAACGCTGTTACCTCCCCACGGAGGTGGTCCCTATTGATCTACTTGCATTTGCATGCTTTCAAACTGCTAGGTTGGTGGGAGCTGGGACAAGCGACGGGCGCTCACTCCGTCGCGTGGATTCGATCTTACGACTGCTGGTCTTCTGACCCTGCAGCACAGGCTTCTGCGGTTTAGCCCACAGCGCCACCACGTCCCCAAACAGGAGTCTTAAATCATTATGTACTAGGTGTGAAATGCATCTTGAATCTACCAACCTTTATCTACCATCCTTTTATCTTAGAGCCCTGTATGAATGTTTTGCTATGCAGTCTCTATATTTTCACTCATATGTCTGATGAAGTAAACATGTTCAAAAGCTCACATTAAAATATAGCAGTTAGTTTTCATGGTGCCCACCAAACATGTTTGTCGTGTTTACATATTTATTTGCCTGCTTTTGTTTTGTGTTCCTTTTTGATATGCTTGCACAGACTAACACACCTACCACATGGAAAACTACATCCACAGATGTAGACACAGATATAACCTGATAATGATATATGGGCTAAATGGTTAATTGTACCTTTGTAGTCAAGTGCTCTTTTTAATGTAGATGATCAAAATATGCCTACTTGTTCCAGTTTTCCTTCTGCTGATCAGTAATCAACAGAAGCACCTGCACATCTGTAGACAGATACAGTGCTGATGGCTGGATAACTCAGTGGTTTACATGTCTTAGATGATAATGATGCAATGACAAATTAACGTTTATATTGTGAACAGCCCAAAACAGAGCAGACCTTCTTGTATACCAGATTCAGAACATATTTTTTTTTCTTAGTTTATTCCTCCCTTTCATTCTTTGAAAAATCAGCGCATTTTGCTTATTGAGTAGAAGAAGGAAGCGTGCTTGGTGAGAAAGGCAAATGGTGTGTTCATAAGAAAATATATCTTTTCTTGGATTCCTTAATTATTGTTACTGTTCTGCATTTTCAGTGCAGGTGCAGAAGGTTCATTTCTTTAACAAGAAACATTCTAAGGAGAAGTGGGAAATATCCACAGATGGAATTGCTGAAATCAGCAGTACAGTATTACACTTCATATTAAAGAGGCATTGGTGGTTCCCCTTTAGTTAAGATGAATTGTACCAAAAAGAGAGAGAGTTTCACACCTTTATAATCCTCAAAATATATGATACAGTACATAGTTTTATAATAATGCATTTATAATCTAACTACCGTTTATTTCAATACAGCCCTTCTATATTGTTGTTGTTCTGTTTGTTGTAATCTGGACTTGACTTTACAGAATTGATATTCAGGTACATTCAGGAATAAAATATGCAAAACAAAATGTTTTTGTTGTCAGAATTGAAGTATATATTTATGTTTGTGTTAAGTGCATTGGCATAGATTGAAGTAGCAAATAGCCTCTAATTAACAAATCCCCAATTGAATTGCATGAGACTAGGAATTTGATCAGGGACTCCTTAATTAGCAGCTGTTTACTGCTCTGGGTCATGCCAAAATATTTATGCAGGCATAAATGTTTCCTTTTATTCTGGTGAGTCTCTCAAGGAAATAAAATGTAAATATAGAATTAGTTTAGACAGGGGCTAATTAAGAGGAGGGAAATGTGGTGTAAGTCTAACATTATGTATCACATAAATTGTTATGATTTTGTGTCACACCTTCTTGGAGTTCCCCTTTTGTAGAGTCTCAGTGCTGGATCAAAGCATTTCGAAGCTTTACAGTATTTTCTGCCCCATGTATTTTGACTCTTAATTGTACCCGAAATTTGTCCCTAGGGTTCCCTTTTGCCCAAAGGAAGCCTTTGGGAGCCTTAGAACAAGAAAGAGAGCCTTTAATTATCAAAAATCGCTGCCAAATCAATGCCACTGGCAATCCAGTGGTGGTGACTTCTCATGATTAAAGAACACTCTCCTGATTCCCAAAGGATTTATCATGCAAAAGGAAATGCAGGGAGCCTCAGGATCTAAAGTGTGTGTGTCTGTGTGTGTGTGTGTGTGTGTGTG